CCAGCAGCGCCGCCATGGCCCCGCGCTGCCCGGCCCGCGCGGCGCCCGCCGCTCCCGCCTTTGTGACCAGCCGGCCGGAACGGCCTCTGCCCGCCCCGGGCACCGAGGCTCCGTCTTCCCCATGGCACCTGCGCTTGGAGAAGGTGGGCGCTCACGGGCAGGATAGCACCTGCTTAAGCGAGGCACACACAGAGCCTTTAGTATTCCTCATTGGGAAAAAAAACGGCTATTTCCACCCTTGAGCATAAGAGTGTCCAGGGAGGGGCTCCCTCACCAAGTTTCACACTTGTAGCCCCCACCCAGCCTTGGTTAGACCATTGGGGGAAAGAAAGGCCTGCGCTAATAGCCCAAAGGTTGGCTTTTGTTTGGGTCTCTTCTGGATTTTTTTCCTTTCTTTATTAAAATATTATTTGTGAGAACTAGAGAACAGGAATAGAGAATTTCAGCTCAAAAGGATATTTGAAAGAAGTTTAGGGTCCAAATTGAAGATATATGGAAATGCTGGGCCTGCCAACACACTGATTCCCGTTGCCTTTCTTAATGAGTGCCTTCTTATGACTGGAGGCAGTTTCAAAATAAATAAGAGTCGAAATAAGGATGAATTTGCTCACGTTACATACAACAGGGCAGACACAGGATTATATAACAAGGATAAAAGCATAAAACCTATTTATGCCACGGTTGCTACGTATCTCTAGCAGTTTACTCAGCAGCTTTCCTACCTCGTACCAAAGCCTTTGTTGGCTGGAATCCAATCCACCTCAGCTCTTACCTTTCTCAGTTGCAAGAGGTGCTCCCCTCCATCACAGAGCTCCTCTCCTGCCTGTCCTTGGGCATCAGGAGGTAACCCTCGTGCCAGCACAAGCAGTGACAACGTGAGGAGGCCGAGTGGCGAGGGCGAAGTTATTGAAGGTGCCTGTCACCACAATGAGCACCTCTACCCTCATGAAGCCAGAGCTGCAGGGCAGCAGTTGGTTTAGATCAGGAGCAGTAAATGTGGCACAATGACCAGAAGCCTCCAACACATACATGGATTATCACTGATGTTCTGGCATTTTCCTGCATAGCTACAGCTGTTTGAAGTTTGTCCGTTAGTGCTTTGGCTAAGAGTGACCAAAGTCATAGGCTGTATTTGGCTTCGGATCACTTTTTTTTTTCCTACTAATTTTAAAGCTTTTAAAAAATTTCTTTTCCCCTCTCTGTAAATTCTCTCATCTGTGATTTTGAGTTTTCCACTTTTCAAGTGTTCAAGAACTTGAACTACGTCAGTTTGCCTTTTGAAATAATGTAACTTGGGACATTAAAGCTGTAAGAGAAAAATCCTACTGCATTATCTTTTTTTGGATGTGCAGTGGCTGTAGTACTATTTTTAAATTCATGCTTTGGCTCTGTGACCATTCCTGACTTGGGCTATAAAAAACCCCTACTAAATCATTCTGCCAACTTGTTCAAGGCATCTTATGCCCAACCCCCAGAAACTGTATATGGCTTTTTTTCCCCTCCTCAGTTAATTTATGTACAACCATAAATTAGTTGTTAGGACTAGAAGAAAGAATTTGGGTTTCATCATCAAGTTAATGGCTGATTAGATTTTTTTTTGTCTCAACACATTGCTGAGCACCTACAGCAAGTTCTTCACTATATCAATGTCACAGCAACAAGACTACACATTTGTGCTCCAATTAGCAGAGCCTTCCACTTCTGTACTGTGATCAGGTAAGGAGAACACAGGATTTTTTGGGGGTGGGGAACAGAGAGAAATGATTCCCAGGATATGGCAATGAACACACTGGAAGAAAATAGTTTCATCTGGCAATTAAAAAACTATCATAAAACAAACCTAAGTAAAGGGGCATTACCAGAAGAACTCCACACCTCTTAAAGGTTATTACAGCATGTTTGACTTCGAAGCCCCGCTATGGCTGCCTAGGGCTGCAAGCACGTTTCCTCAAACAAGATGAGTACATTACTGCTGTTAGTGGCACATTGCTGACTCAGCACGGGGCCACGGACACGGACGATCTCAGCGCTCCGGGTAACCCCTCCCCTGCCTTGCTGAGCTTCTGTCCTCATCCACTAAGTGAGGGTCAAAGTTTCTGGTGCTTCTCGGGCCCTTTGCTCTCACAGGAAGTCCTCTGATACAGGGAAGAAGCCATAACCTTTTGTTCCAAATGTATCCACATTGAATTTTAATTATTGTTTTGAGCATTCCAGAGTAACTGCTCTCTAGCTCTTCACTTGATTTAGGACATCACACAAGCTTATTACTCACTTTCAATAATATCTGGAGAACTAGCTTCTCCAACTCTGCTTTTTTTGCCTCCTCCTCTACCCGCTATCCTTTTTTTTTTTCTTCCCCCCCTTCCCTCTCACTTGCTTATCTATATATTTGTTACAGCCTAGCATTACAGGACAAAAGTTGCAAAGGTCCTTCCATTATTCAACAGCAACCCAGTTAGAGCTCTTCATCAATTACTGAAGCAGGTGAAAATCCCTCCTATAATCTCACAATAAATGTGATATAGCAGCCTGAATATATTCTGATTTCTTATTTATATTTGTCTGCTATTTAGAATGCTTTTTCCTCACTCTAACATTTACTAGAATATATTACAAAGTAAGCAGCAGAATAAGCAAAAGTTTGGGGACCAAGGGGAGTAGAAGTCAGCTTTTTCAAGAATGGCTCTACTACTTCTACATAAAAAGAAATAAAACATTTCTTAGGAATGGATGAATATTTTCTGCAAGCCAAAGAGTGCTCTGTATAAGCACCAGAGCAAATATTCAAGGTATACAGCTGCCAAGGATGTTTCTCTTCCCCTCTCCTACCTCCTCAGGTCTAAAAGGCGATCAGATGGCACAAGAAGGTGCTAGAAGCACAGAGAAAACAGCATGCATTTGAGACAGCATTTGAGATACATTTGAGACAGTTACAAATAAACAATTTTAGCCATTCTAAGCATGTAACAGCAAGACACTTCAGTCTGTTTTATGTCATCATGTATCTCTTGGACAAAAACTAGCTTTATTCTAAGATAAGAGCTTAGCTGTCTTACCTTTAAATAAAAAGAGTGTCATTTAGAAACTTGTGGCAGTTTGACATCTAATTATATTGATTTGAGCCTCTGATTACCTAATCTTTAATCTGCATTCTAAACATACTAAAGACACTGCAATTTATATTAGCTTAAATTATTTTCTAAATTTGGCTTCCTCAAAACAGACAAACTGATATCCAAGGAAAAGTTTTCTGCCAGTACATACAGCATATTTACTAACAAAGCAAGGATTTAAGAAAGGCAAGCTAGCATCCAGGATTTGCTTCATCAAGAACAAGTGTTTTTTTTTTTTTTAATAAAAGTTTTTCTTTTTAATGTTTTTTTTTTGTTTGTTTGTTTTAATAAAAGTTTTTCTTTTTAACGCAGGAAACCAAGACACAAAGGATTGTAAGGATTTCAGGAGGCTGCAAAAATATACCTCAATGTAAAAACCATTCTTGGAAGTCAACTGGCAAACCAGAATGAAAACCAAAAACACTTTCTCTGAAGCAGCTCACATCCTGCCATTGACAGTTCTGTAACAGGTTTCTACAGAAAAAGAGTTGTTACAGGGAATCCATTACATAAATTTCCACAGTGTTGGTGAAGAGCTTAAATATTAAGGAAAGGGAACAAGAATCTCCTGTAGACTTCCAGGTACTGATTTAATGCAGAGGTGCAACAACTTCCTTCACTGCAGTCTCATTCGTTTTTCAGGAGGTCCTTTAGTGCCAGCACTCTGCTGAGTATTCTTTACAGTCTCTTTCTCCTCTTGCTTGATAGCTTCAGGGGCTGGTTCTGGTTCCTTCTTGATTTGATCCACTTAATAAGTAAGAACAAAAAGAAATTAAGAGTGGAATACACTGAAAAGACAGTTTAGCCTTTTCCTGTTTCAAGGTTGCTTATAATCAATTTAAAGCCTTCACACACTTTCCTGAGCTCATAGCACTAGGCAAAGTCACTAGGATGCAGGATTGACCTAGTCATTCCTTCTTGCACCCATTTTCCCTTTTCTGCTTTCAAATAGCATTCCCTGAATTTGAACCTTCAGGCAATACAGTGACAGATGAAAAGGGCAAGGCACCTCCTGGGTAAAGAGTAAAATACACATTTTTCAACTTTATGCTGGTCACCACAGCAAGCTCTGATCCTGTCTAACACTTTGCAGAGCTAGACAGTACCAGGCTAACCACCTCAGTAGTAGCAGAAAGCAGTTCATGGGGTAAATGTAAAACACAGTGATATATAGTTTATTTTTTAAGAATCTTTTGATAATAAAAGAGTTTTACCTGGGATGGGCTTTTCTCCAGGCTTTTGCTGTGGAAAACAAGCAAACAAAAACCAAACATCAGAAGAGCCAAAGTCAATATTCTTAACTCCCTCATATTTACTTAGGTACACAAAGCAGGTAGTGTGTTCTTGCAACAAGAGTTGAGGTAAAAATGAGGGCTCTTGGTTACTAAATACATTTTAAAGAAAATACAAATAACTTATTTCTAAACATGCAATTTTCCCCTGACAATAGAAACTAATGGGAAAAAAGTGCTCATCTAGCCAGTCTTTCCTAATCTCCCAATTTTTCCTCTGAAGGATTAAAGGTTTTGAGAGCTGCTGTAAGCATCTGCCCTTTCTCCCCAGCAGAGGGCCTGGCAGAACAGCAGTTGCTGGGCGGACGCAGAGGTGGCCACAGGTCGCTCACACAATGCTGAGGATGTCCATGCTAACCAGCAAGCTTCCAAATCAGCGCAGTACCCAGCACACAGTCCCTGGGTTGGTTTCATTCAGCTCTTGGTTTCACTCGGCTCACAAAGCAGGAAACTGGCTATGGCTACAAAATCCGAGAGCTGACAAGTATAGTCTTCTACACGTGGATGAAGAGTTTCTCTAACAAAATTTGCCATCGTAGTTTTGCCAAGGTCTTAAAACTCACAATTGCAGAGGGCAATTCCACTTTCTACTCAAAGCCTTCCACTTCCAAAATCCATTATCTAACCACTGTCTCCATTCTAGAAAGCACAGAAGATTCCCACGCACTTTCTGATGTTCAAGGATTTTTGAACTTCTTAAGCTCCAAGTTACATAATTCTGTGGCTTATATATGTCATACCTGAACAAATTTAGGTGGAAACTTTTGTCTCAAGTCTAGAAGTAAAGCATCTACCCTTTGCCTTTGGAAAATAGAACTTGGTTCTTCTTTCTTCTTGGCTTTTGGTTTAGCCTTCTCTGTAAAAGACAGAAAATGTGACAGAAACCTATTTAGGAATTTCTGTTTTCTTACCAGCTCTTTTTTGTGTGACAAGCTGGCAGCAATTTCCCTTCTAAACTCCAACTCCCCCTTGACATCAGCAGCTCTTTCTTTGAAGCAGACAGATTAGGAATAATTTTACTTCCTGAAAAACTGATTTGGTTTCTGAAAAATGTCCTTTAAGTCTCCAGTGGATTGCAGTGCTCTGCTCTCCTTTGACATAGGGCTCACCATTTCTTACCTCCCATCCATACCTCAGTGTCAACCCCACCAGCCCCACAAGGTTGGTTCCTTCAAACCTTGTGGGAAGCACTACCTTCAAACAGAACAGGCACTACCTCTGAACTTTCTCTGCACACCCTCAGTGTATCACCAGCAAGCTTTACCTTTATGTGCATGTTACCCTCCTGCCCAAAAGCAGAGGGGGGTCTGGAACACCTACCTCGTTCCTCTTGATCTTTGAAATGCCACCAATAGCCTTTGGAGGGGTGATAACGACAGTAGGACATAGCTTCTTCAAAAGCAGACTGAATTCCGTGCACTGCAGTGAGCTTTCAGAACCATAAGAGTCACCATAAGAAAACATTTGGAATTTTTGGAAAAAAGTATAGTATAAATTCTTGTAGGCAGAGATTAAAAATTTTCCATTTAATATTCGTTTTTGTTCTGGGAAGGGAACTTGAGGCAGCTAGCTTTGGACCAAGAATGTAATATTTTAAACAGGAGCAAGTGCTTTTCTAAACAGAGAAAAAAATAAAACAACAACAAAAAACACATACAGCATTTCACTAGGATACAAGAAGAAACCTTTAAACAGGAGCAAGTGCTTTTCTAAACTGAGAAAAAAATAAAACAAAACAACAACAAAAAACTAAAACTAAAATCTAACTGGAGTTTTGGATTTAAGGAAAATTATCAGTTTAATAAAAAACATATTCCAAACCAAATGTCATTGAATAAGTCATTGTTAGTTCATATATATTTATGCAATTTTAAAAGTTTCTTAGAATATTTGAACTTCACATTGGACAACTGGCAGAACAATTTCAGCTATTCAGATCCCTTCATCCTTACACAATCAGTGCCCTGCCCTTTAGGCCACACTATACCACACCTCTGTATAGGATACTCATCATGTTAACTAGCAGTGTTTAAGTTTTTGTATCCTATACAAGACCTTTTCTCAAAACAGCACAAGAAGGATTGAAACAGGGTGCAGAGCCACCAAAAGCAGCTACAGACTGATACATGTCAAAATGTACAGAACACTTACAACTCTGGAGTTAATGACAGACCCCAAGTCAGGTGCCTGATAAATCACACCAGCAATAATATAGTAGTCAGCCAACGGAATAACTGTAGAAGGGAGGGAAAAATAAAATGTACAGGATTAATTTTAATCTCATTCTGAAGAGCACACATTTGTTGTTTATTTTCAGTAGTAACAGTAAAAATTCAAATATTCATCTCATAGTGAAAGTCCTCCTGTAGCACTCTATCCACAGACATATCAAGATTGGGTGCATATTAGAATGACTATTCCTTCTTCCTCAAAGGGAGGAGTTCCTTCTCAGCATTCCCTTGGGGAGAGGAAAAAAAGGCAAAGAACAGCAACTTTACTGCCTTGCAAAATACTTTCCTAGACAGATAGCTCTCCTTTGTCTTTGGACATACAGATTTTAACCACTTCAAACTCTTGGCTTAAGATTTAAAGGGAGGGGAAAAAAAAAATCCTCCCTCAATACACAGAAATCAAAGACAGACCAATTCTATCCAAATACCCCACACTGGCTCTGAGCTTCCTAAAATTTCAAGTTTTATACCCAATACTTAATCTGTTTCAAACAGAGTAATATTTCTATCAAGATAAAACAAAACATATGGGTAAAATTAGCCAAGCAACTAAACGATAAAAGTAAGATCTAGCCTAAACTGTGGGACCACAGTGAAAAAATGTTATTAAAGAAGCCCTAGCTAAGCTCCACCAAACAACCATATTATGGCAAAAACACAAACATCTGTGTTGTGGAAACAGAACTCTACTGTGAGTAGTCAAAAAATGTGTCAAAAGCAGAAATTAGGGGACATGATATTTCTATACCTGCCCTTTAAAATCTAGATTCTAAAGATTTGAGTCTTCAAAACAAATGGAAAATCTAATCAGAGAGGCAGCAGTACATGCTCTTTTTCCATATGGAGCTAAAATGGAGGCCATTATCTGACATGAGTAAATAAGCAGCATAGCTAGACAAGCCCAAGTCCTATAGAAGAGGAAGACACATACGTAGAGTTAAGTTACTAAGCAGAAAGTTAAAAAATTACTAGCAATAACCCTGCTTTTCATTTCTGTAAGGTTCATTCTGGAATAACCTAGTCTTTTACATGTATATACAGTTAACACAGAATATAGTCCAATTACAATAGAAATTTGGCAGCTCTTCTTAATCACACATACATAGGTAAACTTAAGGTTAAGAAAAGAACATTGAATCTTGTTGAATGCAAAGGGAAGGAAAAAACAAAGTACTTCATTCAAAATTTGGGAAGGCCATCACTGACACCAGTGCTACTCTTTAAGACTATCACAAAATTCCCTCATGTCTCCAAAATATTTAGATGCATGAATGCATCTTTCTCTGTAACTAATGGAAATCATAACTTTCCAAAATAAATAAATAAAATCACATCCTAGTCACCTCAGATGATTAGCACCTCAGATGATTAGCACAAATTAAATTAATCTCATCAGCCCCAAGCAATCAATCTTAAAATTTCCCTTACTTAAAATTACATTTTAATACTCTACCATAGCAATATGACATGACAGAAAGTTATTAACAATTTCAGTAGCAAAATATATGGCAGTACTTCTTCACTTTTTTCACTCCTCACATTTCACCACAAGAGTGCAGTCCCTGTGCAACCCAACTAGCAGGCCACACATCACTCTACGAGGCAAATTATTTCCACCTACCTCCCGTATAAAGCCTCATATCTGTGTGAGATTTGAGAAAAAGACACACCAGAGGAGAACCATAAATGCTTACACACAAGTTAGAAACAGATAAAGAGAATAAACACCCAGCCTTTCAACAGCGACAAAACCTAAGAGATCTTACCTTGTGTTGGAGATTGCCTTTGCTGCTTGCGGATAATGAAGAGAATGGGCTCTTGAGCATGAAGAAGAATATATTCCACTCCAATCATTTGACTGGAAAAGAAGCAACCAGAATAAACATCTTCCTCTCAAAGTAAAAGCCATGGGATGCAAAGAGCTACAAAAATCTTGCTAGTAATGGGCTAAATTCTGATTCTTTGAAAGCTGTTCTATAACACGCAGTAAAAGAGACATAGAGCTATCTACATATACAAGGCAAGTTAAAACAATCTGACAAAAACTTTTAGGCAGGACAGGTGAACAAAAGAATAAACAGTGAGAAGGATGACATATCCGTCTCTGTCATGATAGACTGTTGCTTAAATAAAGAAACAAAGGACCACAGTGCATGCATGTGATATGAAAGCCTCTCTGCAACCACATTCAAGTAAGGGGAATTTTGCCATGGAGTATTTAGCTTAATTTGTACACTGCCTGTCATATTGTCACATCTTTAAATAGCTCTCAACATGCTTGAGTTGCACTCTGTGTCACAGATGGGAAACTGCAAAGAAAGTTAACTGGCACACAGAACAATCTTACTAGACAACTATCTGTGATGTTTACTTATGACACTTAATACTTGTATTATTCATACTAAAAAGCCAGCTCTTTGGAGGAATATCCATACTAATTATGGCACACAGCCAGGGGGATATGGAATCACTAACTAGCTTGTGAACACAAAATATCCCTCAAGATAAACCTCATTCATCACAGGAAAGACACTTAACTACATTATTAATACCAGTATTCAATTTCTGTTGAACTGGAAAGAAGACATACTGCTTCAGAGAGTATCTAAAAGTGATGTACTGGAATCTCAGTTTCATGATTGTGATTTCTTTGAAGTGGCAGTAGAGGAAGTAGAAGGTATCTAAATAGCTGGACACTCTGGCAAGGCTGAAAAACAGGAATGGAAGCAGCTTCCCAGTATGTTTCCATTCAACCATCTAAGCCTCTGAGTGGATGCAAAAACAATGTTAGAAGCAGTTTCAAATTAATGACTTACTTCAAATGGTCCAGGGTCATCCGCTGCATTTTGACAACTTCATTGTTACATGTTCGGTCATAGAACGGGTTACTTCGCTCTGAGAAATAGTCCAGCACGCTGCCATTGTTCAGTATTGGAATCCAGGAGCTATCAACCCAGGATATTCCCAAGAGATTATCTGGCAAGAGAAATATCCTTTGAGTACTAAACGGCTTGAAAACCTCCAGAAGTAAAAAGTTAATTCTTGTGGCACAGGATCAAAGTAGAACATTGCCCCAAACAACCCAATTCTACTTAAAAATGCATTTCACAGAGGTCAAATAATAATTAAATCTTTTAACTTACTATAGCTCTGTTGTAGATGGACAACAATGTAATCTGTTACTACTCCACTTTTTTTGCTGGTACATGATTATGCCCCAAGAACGCCAGCAGGGTGGTGGTGGGGGAAAGGAGGGAATCAACGAGCTCCAATAACTGCATAATATTACCATAATACTATGTATGTGCATACGTGCATTATATACAGTTTATATTATGAACTACAGCAATAGCTGAATAGAAAGACAATCTAAAACATGGTTCACTTTCAAAGTTGGTTCTCTGATAGAAAAGTTGAACTTAGACAGTTGGTTAGAATCAGTTACAGAAAAAATAACCTGACAAGTGGTACACCTTACACTAAATTTAACTCCAGTCAAGCTTTTTTCTTACAAAAATAGCATCCCATCTTAGAAACACTGAAACCCGCATATCTGATGCAACAGCAAACAAAATTGTTATTTCCAAAGATGATTTCTTCTGCTGTGGGTGAAATCCATAGTAAGCAAGCCCCAAAAGACAAAGATGCTACCTTTGGGTAATGTTTCCCCATAGCTATGAATAAGGGATTCTATTCCCAGCTCTACAATTAATTTTCTAAATTGCCGATGGCAAAATGATCATTTTGCATGTCAATGAATATTATAGAAACCTAACCACGCAAGTATTCAAATTTGAAATACACACTATAAATACAAATTGTTACATGTCAGATGAGTTCCTACACATGTAGTGACATTTGGACTGAAATCCTTAGATTTAATTATGATACAAAACAAAACTGCGTTCCTCACGCACTTAAGTGGCCAAAGTTAAACGGCGACCAAAACACCCAGTGTCAACACTGGTTCTATGGTTGACAACATAGCTAACACCAAAAACACCAGATAACTTGAAAGGTATCTAGAAATTCCTCTATTTAAATTACAAAAGCAACAATTAGAATTCCTAATAACTGAGAAAGCAGAAAACACAACATATGTCATTCAGGTTTTCTAAGGAAATGTGATGCAAAGCCTTTGAAGAAGGAATGGAAAAAAAAATGAAATGCTTTCATTCAGGAACTACTCCCTTATGTTCATGCATTATACGCATATCCAGAACTCCCATTCATCATTCTTCTGTGAATATTTCGTTTTGTGGCAGTTCTGCATGTTCAAGGATCAGTCGCAAAATGTCAGCTCTTATGTTATGAGCAGCTTCCTTTATGAACGTTTAGTAAAGTGATACCACGTGCTCAGCAAACCAGGAATAATGCAGAATAACTGAGTGATTCATTCCACCTTGTCAATCTCAGAACTGCCAATCTAGCTCTTCCTTAAAATGGAAGAAAAAAAAATCTTGAAGCATTCACATTATTTTATATAGACTGCTCCCTCTTTAAAACGAGAATCTTAGTAAGAAAGAAGTAAAACCGATTAGACATTTAAGCTAGGGTAGTACTGATGATATCCTAAATGACTTTAAAAACCAGAAGACAAGCTTCCTTCCCAGCAAAGGCAAAATTAGCCCAAATTTGCATGCTCTCTCTGATAAAGTCCCATTTTGTATTTCAAATACAGAAACATCTTATTGGTATGACTAATAAAAATCGAATTTCTCAAGACTGCACTCTCAGTTAAGCTCACAAGGCCAAAAAGACACAGATAAATAAATCATAAACTGAATATAAAGTTTAGGTTCTAAAACTCACCCTTCACTATTGTTTTGTAAGTGCAAATCATTATAATTGCAAGATTTTCCTTTTAAGCTACCCTTAGAAAAAGTCGAAGCTGAGAGAACAAGCCCAATATGCTTCTTGTTCCTAGGAGAGGTATTTCCATTTATCACTGCCAGAAGATTCTATTTATGTGGAATTTGTGCCATATATTCACTTAAGTGCTTAAAGTGAAGTGCTTAAGAGAAAGAAGCAAAATCCTTACATATGAAAGCAACTTTGGTACACAGGAAGCAAAACCAACCATGAAATCATGAGCAGCCACAGAGATCCATTTACAGTTTTTCTTACAGGAAAGCACAGATTTCTGAGAAGCTGGAACTCCGTGGCAAAGAAGGGCTCAGCCTGTGCTTAAACTGGGGCCA